GAGATAAGAGTCCAGAAATAACTGGAAGGCCACATGTCTCTCTTTCTGTCTTAACAGCTTTGAGGGGTGGGGACACGTGGCTTGGTGTGGAGCGCTCATGCTTAAAAACAATATCGTTAAAAAGAATATCGTTATCCAAAAGGAAGGATGTGCATTTCCAATCATGATCTACGGACACTGAAGTTACTAGTACTAATTGCTCACATTGAGAAAGCATTTTACAAAAATTACTGTACCATGTTCACCCTCCGCCCCAGATTCCAAAGGAGTTGGGAAAGAAAACAAATTTTGGCATTGAGGGATATTATCTAAAAGGCGTGATACAAAATGCAAAATGGCAACGGTTTTTTAAAAAAATCAAATTAAATAATTTTTTCACTGAAATCATAATTTAAATCAAAAAAGTAGAGAAGAGAAGATGGCAGGCCAGGGGTGGGGGAACAGAGAGTAGTGTTTTATAATGTTGTACCATTCTTATGATAAGCAGTGCAATAGATTAGGTACTCTGGTGAAATGGCTGCTGCTCAGTGACACCTGAGAGTAAAAAATAGCAGTAAGTTGGCTTCTGATCAGACCAGCTTCCCTTCTCTTCCTTTGTCATGTCAAGATCAAATGGCTTTCCACCAAAGGAAGATCTAAAGGCAGCTGGTGTCTCTCAAGAAAGCCTATAAAGCAGTGGTCAGGGAACAGGGGTAAATTACCCCAAATGGGGTAAAAATGAAAATCCCAAGGGTAATGAGGATGGTTGCGGCAGGTATTTTACCCCCAGGCATTTTATTTCCGACGATGCTGTGTGTAGGCGGTCGTTCTGTCGCGGGGAACTGCACAGGGCACCTGCCTGTCCTCCTCGCCTCCAAAGTGTGTGGGGAGGAGGATGGCGCACCCGGCCAGCTGGACTCTTTGCCTGGCGGAGTCCTGGCCGGGGCTCTCCTTCCTGCCCACACCTGCCCGCCCAGTGCACTGGCGAGGAGGCCCCCTCCCCCCCTGCCAGCCCTGTGGTGCCTGCCTCCCCTTGCCAAGGACGCGCTTTCCCAGCGGTGTGGCAGCTCCAGACTGGCTGCCCAGACGGTGGCCACAGATCCCGGGCGAGCGCAGAGATGGGGTCGGCCGTGAACGGCAAGAGCCAAGGGGTGGGGGTAATGTCAACGGATATAAATTTTTTTTGGGGGGGGAAGGTAAAAAAGTTCCCTGACCCTTGCTGTAAAGCCTCCAAAGCCTTCCATGTACACTATTTTGCCTGCATTCCTTTCAGGATCCTTACAGGTTAGGTCAGGACACTTCAGAAGACAGGTGGGCCAGATACAACTCGGCCCCTCCGGTGAAAAAGCATTTCCCACAGCTTCAGGGCCACCACTGTAAAAAGGCTAGCTCTGCTGTTAGTCACGGTGAAAAACCTGCCTAGGGCAGCATTTTGAGCATCATGAGAAAAAAAACAACAACAAGAAGTAGCAATCACACTTTATATTTCAAACCTGAAAGAAACTGCAACTCAGAGAGGACAGGATTTATTCTGAGTACAACAGTAGCTTATGTTGTTTGTAGAAATCATGTACCTACAATCTGGGGACTAAGGACGGGGGACACAGCAGGACTCAGGACGACCCATTGTTATTTTTCAGAAGGCCCATTCCCTGGATTCTCTCCTGCCATCTGTGGGTACAGCCAACCCAACCCTGGAAGCGCCCGGAAGAGCTGGAATATGGCATCAGGGGGATCGCTTTGGCGCAGGTAGCACAGAAAAGTTGTCCACAGAAAGGAGCAGGCACCCACGTAGGCTGTGCGCAGCACCGGAGGTACCAGCATAAAATTCACGGCCTGGTGGAAAAGAAATGAAACAGCGAACAAGAAAGATCAACTGGAAACAATTTTGAGACTAGAACACATTTTCCAAGGCCATGCCTGCACCAGCCTTCAACTGGCTGGGTCAGACTCAGCCAGAGATGGGAAAGTTGCCTTTTGGACTACAAATCCCATAATTCCATACCCTAGCATTATTTTGTTCCACTGATTATATTTTCACCGTACCTATCCCTCTAAGGTGGTCAGGGCAACATACTGCATATAGTTCGCTTCCCTCTACCCCATTTGATCCCAAGAATTAAGAACATCAACATCAATCACCACCACCACCATCATCATCATCATCATCATCACAACAACAACAACAACAACAATAATAAAAATAAAAATAAAAATAAAAATAAAAATAAATTATGAGTATGAACAACAACAACAACAACAACAACAACAACAAAAATTAAAATTAAAATAAATTATGATTATGAGTATGATTATGATTATGTTTTGCATAATGACCAGTCATTATGGTCATTATAACTTGCCAGCCTCCAAAACCCATGGGAACTTCAGGTAGGGAAGGTGACAGAAAATGAGGAAGTCAAGAACTTTTCAGACTTCCAGATGCAAACTGACAGAGACCTCAAACATAACACACCAGACATAGTAGTAATAGAGTGAAGAAATTTCTGGATCATTGACATTGCAATTCCAGGGGATGCCAGAGTTGAAAATAAAGAATTGGAAAAACTAACAAAGTACAGAGACTTGGCAATCGAAACACCTCACTTGTGAATGAAACACAATTCAGTGGTCCCTGTAGTCATCAGGGCTTTGGGAACAATATCAAGAAATTTCACCCAGTACAGTACTCTAAGCAGTTGCAGATATCAGAAAGAACACAATCAGAGCTACAAAAACTGGCAATATTAGGAACAGCATACATACTGTGCTGATATTTAACAGATGCTTCGGTTTTTGATTAAAACTTGTATCTGTTATATAATACGAGTCAATGTTTTTATAATTTTGATTTATTGCCACTCATGCTTTTTTAACAACAACAAGATTAACTACATGTCATCAAGTCAATTCTGATTTATGCCGACCCTTTCCAGGGTTTCTTAAGTACAGAGTACTCTGAAATGACTTATCATTCCCTTCTTCTCGCAGTGCCATGGAACTGTGCAGCTTGCCCAAGGCCAAACAGGCTGGCTCTACTCACAGGAGGCACCATGGGGGAATTGAGCTCCTAACCTGTGGCTCGACAGCCAGGTATTTCACTCACTGAGCTAGCCAGCCAGTTTCCTTCCTAAATATTTTATCCCAAACACAACTCTAAAATGTAAGTCAGGCAGAGGGAAACTGACCTGCTCAGACTCCAAAATCCATACTCTAAAATGACATATTTGTTAGGCCAACCAAGAGGACAATTTTATTTTTAAAAAAGCATCAAGGTGAAAGATGAAAAGAGATGGCAGCAATATTTACCTGGAATAAAGTCCAGCACAGCACCCCAGCCTGAAAGAGGAAAAGAAAAGGAATTTGAGTATCAAGGTAGGTGTTAAGGCTCCGGGTACTAGGATTTAACTAAAACCCATGTCTCTTTCTGATAAACAGAAACAATTCAGGCACTGCTTCAAACCTGCCTCCCTCAACAATTTTGTTTTCCATTTGAAGCAGGGTGACTAAATGTAAATCAATGCATTTCTCATTTTATTGATACCTCCTTTTATTTTCTTTTGTAAAGCGTTGATTTAATGCATGTTCAGGAGGGCAGGAGATGCACAGCACTAGTTGTGAATAAGCACATAAAGGTGTTGAAGGCAGAGCCTGGAAAAGATTACCCTGGGGAAATCTGAATAAGCTTTGGGGTGGGTGGGGAAAGCACAGTTCAAAAAGAAGCTTTTCCAATCTCTGAACATGTACTCTCATCTATGAAGCAACCAAAGCTTGAAATGCAAAGCTTCAAGAAGTTCCTTAAGCACAATTAATTGATGGAAGACAACAAGGTGAACTAGGAAGTCTTTAGTTTAAATCCTGTGTTGCCAGGATTGTAGTGGTACCCTTAGCCAATATATCAGCATCAACTTCAATTCTTCAGCATACACCACACACCCCAGTTTACCACACAGACTGGACCTGTTGTCAGCATTGAGACAATACGTGTCTTATCTGGGTACGTCCATAAGAAGGTTGGAATTGGAATGAAGGTGATAACAGGTTACCGTGGAACTCCTTGCCACAGGATGTGGTGACAGCATCTGGCCTAGATTCCTTTAAAAGGGGACTGGACAGATTTTTTGGGAAGAAAAATCCATTGCCGGTTACAAGCCATGATGGGGATGTATAAGTCCCAGGCTTAAAAGGAAGGTTCTTCAAAATGCCAGATGCAAGGAAAGGATCTCAGGAGACAGGTATCTAGTTGTCTCGTGTGCTTCCAGAGGCATCTGGTGGGGCCACTGTGAGATACAGGAAGCTGGACTAGATGGGCCCTTGGCCTGATCCAGCAGGGCTCTTCTGATGTTCTTAACACTTCAGGAGATTATTTAAATTACCTTGTAAGATGGCCAAAACTTCTCCCGTAACTTCTCAAAGATGTCAGGTTCCCCATCCAGGAGAGACAGGCCTGGCAAAGGCAGGGGAGAGACTGAATACCACATGGCCATCTGGCAAGAAGCCCCCACCTTAAAGCTCCCCCATCTCATTTCCTCTTACCTGTGTAAAATGCTCCAATGGTGATAGGGGCAGCTATGGCCTGATCGCAAGCAACCTTTGCCATCACCTTGGCAGCATTTCTTCCTGGAAGAAAGCGCTCCAGGCTTCGGAACCAAATGTAGTTGAAGTTGGCATGGAAAGTAAACCCGACTAATGCTACTTTGGCTGTCTGCTTCAGATCCAAAGCATCGTGCCCAAGGTGATGCCAATGGGGCCTAGACAACACCTGCTGGGCCACATCTGCTGCAGAGAACAGGGTCCCATAAGCAATGACATTTACTAGCAAAGGATGGCGATGGACCACAGCAAGCAATCGGCACATCAAATTTCAGCTGGTGTGGCAGAAGTGCAGTTCCTCAAGACAGCCACTAGGTGGTGATGCTCTGCTCAGGTGAGTTGTAATGTTCCTTCCTGCAGGTAAGTAGGTTGTCTGCAAATTAATCCAGGGACACACACAGAGAAAGAGAAAGACAGACAAATTCAAACAAGTTGCAACCCAAGGCACAGTTTGGGGTGTGTGGGGATTAATCCTCACTGAGATTATTCCCACTGTGGTGTAGTGGATAGAGGGACAGACTAGGACTCTGGAGCACAGGGTTCGAATCTCGACTTGGCCATGGAAATTCACTGAGGGAATGGAGCTGGCAAAAGAACTCTTTAAATATCTTACTTCCCTGGAAAGCCCCATCAAGGTTGCTATATGATGGTTCTGGCTTGACAGCATAGAGAACATAAGCACACAGTCCTCACTGAATACAATTTCTGAACATGCAGGCATCTAATTACTTTATTTATTTTACGCTGTATGTGAACTTCAGTTCTCAATTTTTTAAAAAAGCATCACAGCAGAGGTAGAGACAGAAATCAGGTGGCGAGAGGCTCTGAGATGTAAAACTTTCAACCTAAGAAGGATCTTCAACAGGTCTTTAAAGCTTTCAAATATTTCTTAAAAAGTCAAGGAGAATAAATAAGTCTTCCAGTAATGCTAGAAGAAATGCAAAATAGGGTCCAGTTAAGCAGTCCTGAAAACGCTATTTTGTTTATTTCTCTAGTTTTTTTTCTTAAATAGCACAGGATGTTGCTTTATTGCTGTTCCCATAGTTTATTTACTCATTTAAAATATTTCTCCCCTGCATTTCTCCTTAAAAAGGACCCAAGGTGGCTTACGTCATTAAGAACACAATGAAAGCTAAAAACAGTAAAATATTCAAATATAAAGAATTAATAATATTCTAAGATTCTTTCACCTTCTTCTTTGCTGCTTTTGTTATTGTGATTTATTTCAATATCCACCCATTTCTTCTGTATGTTATATAATTCCAAGTATCTGGTAAATTCAGAAAGTATAGAAATATGATAAAGAAACAACCACATTTTCACACATACTAATCTGTAAATAAATAATCTACCCATTTGCGCAAACACACGCTTCTTGATAAAGAAGCACAAATGACATTGTCATGTGATATTATACATGACTCATATCATATTCATGTAGCACATTCCTCTTCACACACCCATTAAAATGTCCTTATATGTATGTGCATGTGATTTCCCCGAGTACAAAATCTCTGCTCAAAGACAACACACCCTCTCATAAAAACACACAAACACCCATTCTAGAGATGTGCCAATATTTTAGACTCAGAAGATTGGTGGATTGATTCTTCCAAACAGTTATAAATCTGCAAGAACAGGAAGGACAAAAAAAAATCCCAGCACCTTCATAAAACAATAAATTTCATGACTCTAACAAGTAAATCAGTTTGAATTTCTTTCTTTCTTTCTTTCTTTCTTTCGCTGTTTGTAATGCAAATATAACTTTTTCTCCAACTACGAAGTTTGTCTACATTTATACAAACATGTTTGTGTGCCTAGCAGGATCTGTCTCCCAACACCCATATTTTGAATTGCTACCTAGACATAGGTATTCCTGCACATGCATGGTGTGATCTGATTGTTACACAGACTCTAATATGGACACACAAAGACTATGTCTTCTCTCTGTGCCACTGAATATTTCAGTCATTTTCAAATCATACCCCAAATGTACATGGTAACCACTCACTCTACATGCTGGCCAACTACAACACAGTGCCTTATAAACATATACGTTTTTTTGTTTTTGATAATGCCTTCCAAAATCCTTCAGTCATCACAATGGGAGAGTCTAGAAGTTGGGATTAAAAATTAATTTTCACTAGTTCTGCTGATTGTGCACTGTTGATCATATACACTGTAAGTAAATCAGCTTTACTTATTCCTGTCGACTGTAATGTCCTGCCCTTCAGGCCCTTGGCCATACTCTGCACCAACATAATAAATCCCTTTGTGTATGTACATCCTTTCAAAATTCACATGACTTTTTAAGAAGCAACAATATTCTTCCTGCACGTAACAGACATTCGCCCCCTCAATTTGCCTCTTCTGCCACAAACCTTGATGGTGGAAGGATAAGCATTCAAAATAACATATTAAAACTACCTGCTGGTGGAAAACATTAGATCTGATTGATACTGGGAGCTGGTTCTCCACCAAAGTTTGACAGCAACAGCAGGAAACAGATCTGTGGCCAAGGTCTAACATGCATGGTATTCCATCACAGGGGATTTATTTATGTAACTGACTATACATCTCAACTTTCCTTCGGGGACCCTCAGACAATATATATGGTTCTCCTTCTTATCCTTGTGACAGTCCTGTAAGATAGTTTTAGCTAGGAGATATGACTGGCCAAGAGGCTCTCTTCAGTTCTGGTCCAACACTGCAACCAACCCAGCCTTTCCCAAACCAGAACCCCAACTGGTCCATGCAGTGACAAAAGCGGGATCCTTGGAATTGTATTCCAAAATTCCTATGTCTCCAGAGAGAGAAAATTATTAGACACAAATTACAACCGGCAAATCTTACACCCTCTCAGCCCTACCATCAGTGGTAGACATGGCATCAAAAGCAGAGCTTACAAACTTACTTTGGACTACAACTCCCATGCTGCCTGGGGGATTCTGGGAGTTTAAGAAAAAAGGCAAACTTTCCAAAGTCTAGATGAAATCTATATAAAACATCAATCCTTGGATATCATTTCTGTTTTTAATTCAAGGCATATCCCATCCCTACCACAGATGATAAGATGTGTTTGAGAAACTGAAAACTCCTTCTCTGAAACAATGCAGGCATTTAAAGAAACGCACAAACACCCTCTTTCTCAGAGATTCCCCCCTCCACCCCACCTGAATTGAAATCATTATTACCCCAAACTTCTGTTCTAATTCTGGTCCTGGACTAAAAGAAAGAGAAGGAACCGGCCAGCCACAGCCATGCTGTCTGCTTTGCAGGGCTAAAAATAGCCAGGCACATGGGAAGGGTGCAGAACAGGAGGACTGCTGGGGGGGGGGGTTGTCTGCTGATTTTTGGGGGGTGGGTGGGGATGGGTGGGCAAACCCAGAAGCTGGGCAAGAAGTTGACCGCACATGATAATATAAGCCTTTCTCCTAGGATACAATCTGGGAATGAAAGAGTTAATATCAAAAGAAAAAAGGGTGGGTAGTTTTTCAGGAAGAAAAAACTGCAGAAACAGACCACCTACCTTTTATGAGGGCAGCTGAAATATTTTTAGAAGCCACTTTTTAGAAGTGACTTTGCAAAAGCAGTGATTAGCCTTGCTGTCCCGCATTAATAAGCCAACAAGAGTATGGCATAAAACATGGGGATTTCCTGCCAAAATGAGAAAAAAAATCAATCTTTAAAAACCACTGGGAGCCGTTACTTAGAGTAATATCACTTTGATTTCTCTCAATCTTCTCAACCTGTAACTTCATTACAACCCCTTATATCTTAGAATGCTGATAAGTTAAAAGAACTTGTGTTAGCCATTGCTGTGGTGTAGCCAGGTGGCCCTTCCCACGGCCATGGTCCTCATCCCAGTTATTACAGTGGGGTCTCGACTTACATACTTAATCCGTATTGGAAGGCAGTTTGTAAGTCGAAAAGTTTGTAAGTCGAATCAGCATTTCCCATAGAAATGCACTGAAAACTAATTAATCTGTTCCGGCTGTTTTTGGTTCTTAGGTTGAGGGGCATTTCCCATAGGAACTAAGGCAAAGCCGGTTAATCCGTTCCTACCACTAGGGGCAGAATTTCTTTCTTTTTGTTCTTTTAACCTAAGATGACTTACCGGTAGGTTTAAAAAAAAAAGGAAAGAAAAGAGGGAGAGAAGGAGGGAACAGACACCTTTTCAACAGAACACCCTGAAAAGCACATTTTCAGCCAAGACAAGCACCTCTGGGAAAAACCAAGCACCTTTCAGACAACAGATCACCTTGAAAAGCACCTTTTAAATCAAGACAAGCCAATACAAGCACCTTTTGGGGAAAGGGGGTGCAGCAAAGGAGGGAGGGAACACCTTTTAAAAATCCAAAAATCAAAAATTAAAAAAACGCCAAAAAATAAAAATACAGTCCGTACCGCACTGTACCAGGCAATACCAGCAGTACCAGGCAGTACCAGGCAGTCTGAAGACTGTCTCCAAATCCACTCTCAAAACGCTGGGAAGAGCGAGGAAGTAGATAAGCACCCTCTTCACTGGCCAACGGTTAACTGAAAGTTGAAACTTCATGCTTTCCCCACCTCAAACACGTTTTTTTTTGGTTTGTAACTCGAATCTAAGTGTGCAAGTCGAGTCAATATTTTTCTCTCACAGTGGTTTGTAAGTCGAAATGTTTGTAACTTGAGCCGTTTGTAAGTTGAGGGTTGACTGTATCTGTTTCTTCCTTAGCAGGCCAAAGAAATAATCTCCAGTTCCCCCTAGTGACCACTTCTGATTATTCTCAAGATACTCTTATAAACTAACTTTTGAAAGTAACTAGACAATGCTGTTCTTTACAGCAAAAGCAAAGCTGTAATGACTTGTTATCTTAACTTCTGAAACACATTTGGATGGAATTATTATCCCCAAAGTAATTTGTCATAAGTAACTATGTTGCTTGTAACTAGTTACTTCTTCACTCTGCAACCTCATTACCTAAAGCTAAATTGTCACATAGAGCTATTACTATCCTAATAGTTCTGCATTTCCAAGCTCTCTGCTACACACAAGAGGTGGGTAAGCTCCAGATATTCAAAAACTACAAGGTCCACCGAACAACATGGTGCTACCTGAGGCAGAACATCAAGTGAAATAACTCTCTCACACAAGTGCCCAAAGCTAGCAAAATTAGGTTTGGTACTTGAGACAGAAAGTCCAGAGGCCCCTCTGTGAATTCTAGCAGTAAAAATAAGATAAACTTAAAAACTGACTTCTGGAGCTCCATTTGAGTTCATGCACCTCATTTTAGCCCCAGGATCTGTGGTTTGCTTTCTTCCCTCTTCTGTGAAAGTGGGCTACTTTCTAGGGAAACCTGATGTAGATAAAAACTCTTAGTCTTTAAAGGGCCAAAGGCCTTTTATTGCTGCTGTGCTGCTTTCAATGTGATCAAATTTTTATTTGGACACTAGGTGGTAGTACTGTTTTATCTCCAGCAGAAGGAGCTGGGAGGGAGGCCAGATGAAGGAAGACTGATCACTGCAGATGGTGACAGCAGCCATGAAATTAAAAGATTCCTGCATCTTGGGAGGAAAGCGATGACAAACGTAGACAGTATCTTAAAAAGCAGAGACATCACCTTGCCGACAAAGGTCCACATAGTCAAAGCTATGGTTTTTCCAGTAGCGATGTATGGAAGTGAGAGCTGGGCCATAAAGAAGGCTGATCGCTGAAGAATTGATGCTTTTGAAATGTGATGCTGGAGGAGACTCTTGAGAGTCCCCTGGACTGCAAAGAGAACAAACCTAGCCATTTTGAAGGAAATCAAACCTGAGTGCTCACTGGAAGGACAGATCCTGAAGCTGAGGCTCCAATACTTTGGCCATCTCATGAGAAGAGAAGACTCCCTGGAAAACAGCCTGATGTTGGGAAAGTGTGAAGGCAAGAGGAGAAGGGGACGACAGAGGACGAGATGGTTGGACAATGTCATTGAAGCGCCCAACATGAATTTGACCCACTTCAGGAGGCAGTGGAAGACAGGAGGGCCTGGCGTGCTCTGGTCCATGGGGTCATGAAGAGTCAGACACCACTAAATGACTAAACAACAACACAGCTCCCAATACCCCCAATTAGTATGGCCAAGACTGTCACATTTGGCCAATAAGGCCTAGGTTGCTGCCTATCCAAAATAACCAATAAGTATTTGCATTACAAAGCCCTTTGTTAGTTGGGACTGAACAGTTTGATCAAGAATTCTGTGTAATACAAAAGCCTACATACTCCTAGATTCTATGACACTGAACGACAAGTCATGCAAATGATAAGCAATGTATCTCAGCCTCTTTCCTCTGCCATGCTGACAGCATGTTCCTGTTTGGTTTTTGAGGGAGTTTCCCCTTTCCGTGTTTTTGCGCATGCAGCAAGCATTTGCCCTGGGCATCAGACCTACAAATATAGCCGTGCTCTTTCATGCCTCATCGTTTTGGAGAGAGGCTCCTCGTAGGCCATTTTGTTGAGTCATTTCTACCTCTAAAAGTAGCTCAGGAGGAAACCTTTCCACTCAGCCTTGCCCCGGCCAATTTCATTTACTGTGCGTGGTTCCCTTTGGTCATCATCATCCATGGAGTTCTGCTGTGTCATTAGCAACATGACCCTGGCCTGGAAAGAAACAAGCGGAATAGCCTTACAGGAATGGAAGTAGACACAAATCTGCCACAAGGGGGCAGCACAGCTTTGGTAAGAGAGCAAAGAGGCAAAAAAATGTAACAGACTTCTGTTACTTGCATGGATTAATATATTTCTTATGATATACATTTTTTTAGACTGCAGTCCATTTCAGATGCAACTGATCAAAAGGACTATAGCTTATGAACACTTTGAGTGCAATAAATTTGTTTATGCAACTCAATACAACTCAATTTCCCACCTGCCAACTGACAGGGCTACCCCCTATAGAAATGTGATTACCATCATCATCGTCTTAGAACTGCAGATCTGGAAGGGACCCTATGGATCATCAGCCCCTGTCAGGGAGGTACAGTGGGGAATCGAACACCCGATTTCTGGCTCCCCAGCTGAATATCTAAACCACTGAACTGTACAATGTTGAGGCTTTATTAACTGCACAGACATAGGGGTATGAAAAAGAGATCATTAGTATTTTTTGCACCAACGTTTTATGCCTCATAGTGTGGTGTAGTGGTCAAAAAGTTGGATGACGACTTTGGAGACCTGGGTTCAAATCCTCATTTGCAAGTCAGGCTTAACAAGTGATCTTGGACCAGTTAGTTATTCTCAGCCTGATCTACCTCAGACAGTTGTTTTGACAATGAAGAGGAGTGGGAGAGAAAGTCATGTATTCCACCTTGAGCTCATCGAGGGTAAGCGGGCTATAAGTAAAAGTATAAATATAATAGATGTACAGTATTGTGGAGATAAGACATTTAAATTAGCATCTGCTGTGATGTTATGGCAAAGCTGAATATGAGTGTGGTAGAAGATGTGTCTTGCTGTGGCAGTAGAACATTCACATGCTTACAGGAATGGCAGTTTGGGTTGGTGCACATGATGGCTCATAAAACAGAGAGGATCCCTTTACATCAGCTGGAGTCAAAGGAACATTGTAGGGGCTTTCTGGTCCTTAACCAGCTACTGATCCAGAAAGTATATTGCGGAGATAAGACATTTCTCTCAAATTAGCATCTGCTGTGATGTATGCCAAAGCCGAATATGAGTGTGGTAGAAGATGTGTCTTCTGCTGTGGCAATGGCACATTCACATGCTTATGGGAATGGCAGTTTGGGTTGGTGCATGGGATGGTTCATAAAACAGAGAGGATCCCTTTACATCAGCTGGAGTCAAAGGAACATTGTAGGGGCTTTCTGGTCCTTAACCAGCTACTGATCCAGAAAAGGAGCTGTCTCTTGATTTCATGATTATTACATCAATTTAAGAACATTTCATAAGGGAATTTGATTCAGGGTGGAGAGTCCCACCTCTGTGGTAATGTTGGCTTGCCTCCGTTGTACAAGCGTTGCAGTTGCACAAAGGGAGGTGGTGGAGGTTTTTCATGGTGGTTACTGGAAATGCCTGGGACATGCTAGCTATAAGTATTTCATGATTATTACATCCATTTAAGAGCATTTCATAAGGGACTTCGATTCAGGGTGGAGAGTCCCACCTCCGTGGTAATGTTGGTTTGCCTCCGTTGTACAAGTGTTGCAGTTGCACAAAGGGAGGTGGTGGAGGTTTTTCATGGTGGTTACTGGAAATGCCTGGGACATGCTAGCTATAAGACCTGTGCTGGACCATCACCATGATGGGCTGTATGAGATCTGGCATCTGGTCATAGAACCGTGTCTGGAGAAAGCAGAAAACAGGGAATTACACCTTCACTCATATACACCCCAAGGGTTACCTTTTGAAAGTGAAAGAATGAGAATTATTTGCCCTCTGCGCTTAACTCACCCATTGGTCTTATGCAAATAAGATGTGAGGCCAGAGAGCATTAACCATTGAAACGGGACATGCAAATGTGGGGCCAGAGAGCATTAACCATTGAAACGGGAAGCTTCATCTTTAGACAGTTACATTTCTTCAGAAATGGAAAAAGTCACTTTTTGTTACTTTAGACAGTTACTTTTCTTCAGAAATGGAAAAAGTCACTTTTTTGAACGGTTGTTCTTGTCATGTGCCATCAAGTTGCTTCCAACTTAGGGTGACCGAATGAGCGATCTACAAAATGTTCTGCCCTCAACAGCCTTGCTTAGCTCTTGTAGATTCAAGCCTGTGGCTTCCTTTAGGAAGTTTGTCCATCTTCCTCTTTTCTTGCTGTCCTCTACCTTTCCCAGAATTATTGTCTCTTCCAGAGAATATTGCCTTCTTATGATGTGCCCAAAACAGGACAGCCTCAGTTTCAACATTTTTGCCTTCAGAGATAGTTCAGGCTTGATTTGATTTAGGACCCACTTGCTTGTCTTTCTGGCAGTCCAGGGTATCCACAACACTCTCCTCCAGCACAGTTCAAACTATCTCCCCTCCCTCTTTCTTAAGTGTCCAGTTTTCAGACCTATACATGATGGTTGGAAATACAAGAGTGTGGATGATTTCGGTCTTGATCATGATCTTTTCTGATTCTTTCACTGCTGATCTCCAGGGACGCATCCTGGCACTTCATGATCTTTTCTGATTCTTTCACTGCTGCCCTTCCTAGTCTCAATCTTCTTCTGATTTCTTGGCTGCAGTCTCCATTTGTATTAATGACTGAACCAAGGTACGCAAAATCACATTTCATATTTCATTTTTTGAACTACGGCTCGCCTAATAATATCCTTTCCATCATGGACCCTGTTGGCTCAGGCATTGTAGGCGCTGTGTTCCAAAAAAAAACATACATCTTGCCCCTCCCTTTTGCATCAGGAGGGGCTGGACGAACCAAATGTCAGGTAGAGATGCAGAATAAGCATCTACCTGCTAAGCAGAGGCTGGTCGGAAGAAGAATGACAGGAACGTGACTCATCCAGAGAGTAGCCTCGTTTCAGGGAGACTTTAATTATGCCATTTATTTATCATCCTTTATCAGCATTTTTCTCTCCCAGAGTCCTAAAGTCTGGGAATCCCTCTTTCATCCGGTGAGTTAAAGGAAGGAGTCTGGATCCCCACATTTCTCTGGGAACAATTGGGATCCCCCCAGGAAAACTGGAATTGGAGAGAAGAGCGAATGCATGACTCTTAGGTTGTGGCGGTGGGGAGGCTCGTGGGGGGTCCTGCCTCTGACGTAATCCCAATCCCCCTCCCAACAGACAATAGACCCCATTCATCCTTCTCTCCCCCCTCCCGCCCCCCAGGCATCCTCTCACGATCTGTTCACACACAAAGGAACCCATTCAGCTTCCAAAAGGACCCAGACGTTCCCTTTGCTGTGATTGGAGAACTCTCGTGTCCATCCTTCTAAAGAGGCGTACGTAGCTGCGCTTACCAACCTATCCACATCTTGCCGTCAGATTTCCCTGACCAGCCCCGTTGCTGTCACTCCCTTTGTGCTGTGATTGGTCTGGGTGGGCGGGGCTAAGACCACCGGACCCCTCCCCCTACGCAGTGGCTGCTCAGTTGCGGTTGGGCCTCGGAGGCGTCAACAACCCTCTCCTAGCTGCCGAGGTATGGTATTGCTTGCCCAGGGCCATTTCCTCTCTCTCTCTCTCTCTCCTGTCCTTCTCCTTGGCTTAAGAGTCGCTTTAATACGGTGGCTGGCGAGGGTCTCCTCCACAGCCTCCGGCGCGGGAGAGGCAGGAGGTTTCAGTGGCCGTATAAAATATGTATTCATAGGTAACACGTTCTAGAATCGCGGATGAGATTATGTAGAGATGTGACAATTTGGGGGACGGCCTCGCATTAATCCTAAAAATAGCCAGGGAGGTGGCATTTATTTTTACAGTGTTGTGAGTGGAGGTAGGAATGATAGAGAACATTTTATGTTCATTCCTATATCACAGATTTGCACTCTGTAGTGTGGTTTTGTCCTTTCCCTAGTCTTGCCTGCTTCTGGGTCTGCCTGTGTTGCTTTTGATGCTTTCTCTGTGAATATAGGCACCTGCTTTCTTCTCTTCTCCTACAGAACATTGGGTCAGATGAAGGTTTTCCTTTTCATTCATCAATCTCTGTTCTCCATTCCCTTGGCCCCATAGCCGACCCAGGCCTGTCAGGTCCCCTGGACTTGACATGGCTTGTCCAATTTCTCTTACCTATTCAGCTCTTCATGCCCCCCCCAGCCAAAGAAATGCCAGCTGGCAAATTTCTGTAGGGTTTCCTTCTTCATCTTTCATCCCTCCTTCATCCCCACCTACACTCCCATTGGAGGCTTTACAGATACAGCATACTGTATATATTCCTTTCTCGTCTCCAAGCCTGGGATCCGGTGGCGTAAAAAAACCGGCAGCTTCTACTGCTGTAAAATGGGTGGAGGTAACTGTTCCTGTGGGAAGAGCACCTATAGTACCGCAAAGGCCTCTGTTTAGGATTTTTGTTTTGTTTCTCTGCAAAAGGTTCACCAGATTTTGTGGTAAAGCTCAGATACCGGAAAGAGAGCTTTTGATGTAAAGAGAACTGGCAGTTGTAATAGGGAGGCTTAATCCAGAAGAGGCTGGAATGACAAAGGAGGATGATAATGCAGGCAGACATATCATAATTTGGATTTCTGTCAGAATACCCACACACCTGAATTTACTGGTGACAGTAGGCCACCAATGTTATTTTTTTAAAAAATATATGCTTCATTTTAGAAAGTTTACACTGATGTTTTCTTTTAAAAAAGCTCTGAGATGAGCTGGCACCATGCAATCTCTCCCTTTATAAATCTGCCATACTCAAGCATATATCATGGAGTCTAGCCATTGATCATAATGGTTGAATGTGACTCCTAGACAGCTGAAAGTGCCATTGGATGCATGTGTTTGTTGCATTTTGGAACAGAAGAGCAGGAATTTCTCTGTGTGATGCCCAAAATAATACCAAGCATTCCAGGAATGCTGTTGTATGTCTTCGAGATAAAAAAAAAAGGTTTGTGGGAAGGGATTTGTGTGTGTTTCTAACCCCTAATTCAAGGCAGCTGAAAAAAGCATCTGAATGTAATCAAGCCAGTTAGGAGCTTTTGTCTAAAAGTCCACCAAAATGCACCAATTGGGTCTGCAAATCCGGGGAATTCTTAGCATTTGTAACTTGCTGTGTCAACAGAATCATGAATTCCAGAGGAGGGTGGCTGTGTTGATCTTTTGCAGTGAAAACAACAAAGAATCCAGTGGCCCCTTAAAGACAAAAAAAGGTTTATTCTGCCATAACATTCCATGGACTAGAGTCCTTTTTACAAAACAGGATGACTGGAAAGCTTGCTCTGTGTTATATTTGAAAGTGAAGGAGACAAGAACAATGTCCAATAGTTTAATTTTGATAGGTGATTTGATTTTTGGGTTGTGTAACTCACAAACCAGAAGTGAGGCATATTAAGTGAGAAAGGATGGTTTGGATCCAAATCTAAGTAAAGTCATATTACTACTAGATCCATTGAAACACATGAGGTTAGATTACAGCCTCACTGATTTCAGTGGGTTTATTCCATTTGTGCCTAAATTTGTGTCCAGCCTAGTATTTTAATCAATATAAGGTTGGTGATTAAATCAGTGATTTAGTATAGTTATCTAAGTAAAGTCATATTACTAGATCCATTGAAACACATAAGGTTAGATTACAACCTCACTGATTTCAGTGGGTTTATTCCAATTGTGCCTAAATTTGTGTCCACTCTAGTATTTTAACCAATATAAGCTTGGTGATTAAATCAGTGATTTAGTATAGTAAATATTTTCATGTAAAACAAATCTTTTGCCATTGTTCTAATATGATATGCATTATTCAAAGAGTATTTGGTGACTATTAGAACTTGGAAAGTCCTTTCCATGAAAAGAGGCGGTGCTCCATAACTTTGAAGAAGTTAGTATTTTGGCTAAAGGAGACAGATGTTAGGGGTTTCTGTCTGCATCCTTGAAACCACCTATCTCTTCTGTGTTACTATAAATCACAGCTGGAGATTCTGCCAGAAAAAGTGGTAAAAGAGAATACTTTATGGAAAGATATGGTGATAGGTTTGGTGTGTTCAATAATGGACCAAAATTGAGCATTTAATAACAAAATCCCAAAGCAGCCCTTTGTTTGATAGTGACAGTATATGTGAGTAACACAAAACACCTTTGTTTGATAGTGACTAGTGACAGTATATGTGAGTAACACAAAACAGAGTGCTTTAAAAAATAAAAATGAAAAAATAATAATTCCATATACGTAGTCCGTTTTAGTGGGAAAAGAACCAAGAGACGCTAAATTTCTCTGGCTCTCTGAATTTCTCAGAAGTCGTTTCTAGACTGCACTTGAGCGCTAAGCAGTTACGTTGTCCGTAGCTGGTATTTATAGCAGTGATGGGCGCACATACGCCATGCAGGCAGCCCTCTGCCCTGCCCCCCACATCCCAACTCTCCTGGCTCAGTCCTAAACTTGGAACAGGGATCTTGGCAGAAGGGTCTGGATACGTTGGGAGTCATATGAGCCGGCCGGCAAAACAATTAGCAGGCGTGTCATGAGCTTTGGAGGAAGGGGCGGGAGCCATGTGGGCTGGCGACGTAGAAGCTGCACACTCTCAGATATAGACTTGACACACTCGTATATGGAGTGACATATATTTGACTCAGGTTTGTTATTTCAGTCTGTGACTGTGATAGTTGTAAAGATAGTGGCGGTCACCCCAAGGAGGCCCAGCGTGCTCAAAACGCTTGGCTACCATCCACTGGGCTGGAACCCTTGGCTGTCCCATTTCCAGAAGAGTCAAGGTGTCCTTTCTGCCTGTCTCCTCCTTCTGGTGCACTCAACATGATTTCCTGTTGTTCTTTCCTGGGACTCCCTATCTCCAAACTCTTTCTGTAATCCATTTCTTTCCTTGCTTTCTTCTTGGGGAATCCAGGAGGCGATTCTGTTGGTGTCTCCTTTTGTAATCCTGTAAATCAGATTGTTTTTAAAGTCTCTGGTACAGGTACTACCAGTGGGACACAGAAAGTTGACAGTAATAGTAGTAGTAACAGTAGTGCTTCAGTTTTCACTTGAGTGGATTTTTTCATTTGGGTTTACATCCAGCAAGTACTACTGCAATTTTGTGTGTCCTTGAAACTTACATCAGTTATGAATACGGGAGCAGAATGCCTGTAAACATATCATTGTCCTCTGATGCCCAAAGCGGGCTTTTTGTTTCTGTCTTGGTACCTCTTAGGTTTTTTGATGGAATATTGTTGAAACATACAATAGCAGAGGTTCAGAACCATAGACACCAATGATCTTCTTTCTCCAAACAAAGCCATAATTTCTCCTTCCCAAATTCCCAAAGATGGACTAATAACCCAGAAGTCAGTTGGGGTGGAGATAGCGGAGAGGGTTGAGTGACAGAAAAAAACAACTGTGTCGGCTCTGTGTATCTGATATATCAAGACTTTCCTGGATGTAAAACAGTGGTTCCCTGCTCAATATAGCCGGGGATGAGGCTGTGGACAACAGAGTTCAAAACATCTGCAGGATCAAAGGTTTTCCCTCCCTGATCTAAACTGTGAATCCTACATGTTTCAGCAGACTTCAGAGTGCTGAAGTTTATAGAGTTTGGGGAAGGAGGCATCCACGTACCTGTTTGTGCTCTCTGAGATTGATGTACATTTTTGACATCAGAATTTCTGCCCTATAGCTCTATATTGGGTGGGTGGTCCCCACTTTATTTCCTTACCAGCTGTTCCTCATTCTCTCCTTGAAGAAGCAGCTGCCATAGTTCCAAGCCATAGAAGTGGAGCACAGGGGCAATATTACAGTTCTCACAGCTCACTGCATCTGCCTTAAACCCTCAAGGTGGACAAAGAGCTTGGAAAGGCAACCACCATCAAACGTCCTGAAAATATAGAACTGTGTGACCTGTCTGTGCTCTTTCTCATCTCTCTGTTGGCTTACTTGACCTAAGTTAAAAGGCAGAGAAAAGGCAAATGGGCTTCCAGGTTCAAGAGAAACTGTAGTGGAGAATAAGATCTCCGTATTGATAGTCCTCACAAGAATGCAGGGGGGTGGGATTGACCCATGAGTTGGCTATCCTGCCAAATTCTGGCCAACCCTGTTAGCTGATTGCAAAACCAGTAAGGCCTGTTCCTCTTTTGTCCACTGCTAGAGGTGTCCCAGCACCGTTGGGGTTTCCAGGTGACACTGGTAGCAGGAAGTGGGAGTCGTTGCCTCTCTTGGAGGCGTCTGAGGCTTAGTGAGCCAAAGCTTCAGACATTCCAGAGGGAGTGCCGGGCCTCTGTTCATTGGGGCATAAGGCAAGTGTGGCACGAGGTAGCGCTCTTCGTTGTTACGGTGGGGCTTGCATGTTTGCTGTTGTTGGAACAAGAACCTTTGACAGGTGAAAGGCAGAAAACGGAAGGGCCCTGCAAAGAAACAGGCTTGAGAGGAAACAGGCTTGAGCGGACGGCTGAGAAGCAAGCCGAGCGTGCGAGAGGTGGCCACCGCCTTTCTTCGAGGGGTTTAACGAGCCTCCGAAATCAGGGAGGCAGACAAGCTGCCAAAAATGTTCCAGTCATCCCAAGCAAAAC